CTATTGACAAACCAGTTCCTAGATTCCCGAACTAAAAATTCAAGATCAGCGGGTAATTGCTCAACGGCCTTTGATAAACAAAGATGTAAAGAATGGCAAGTACATTTAAATAGCTGAACAGTTGGCACCTATGAAAGAAGCAAAGAATAGTTAGAAGGATATATGGTTTACATGTCTTCATATGGTATGGTTGACAATAACTAAACAATAAATATCTTATCTTTAAAGAATTTAAAGAAGCCATTCTCAACACTTATCATATTGGCAGCACCATCTGATGCGATGCCAATAACTTTCTTGTAATCAAGGCCTACGGTTGTCAGGTATTCAATTGTGAAATTACACAGTATTATTCCTGTTGCTCTTTCAACTTCAATAAAGTCCAAGAAATCAGTAACTATTCTTTTGTGTTTCATACTACTGAAGTATCAAACATAAAACGCCAAGTACTTAATGATGGATATGTCAGTCGACTCGTCGACTATGAGAGAAAATCGCTGATCACTAATATTATTTATCAATTCGGTAAGCATTGCCGGTAAAATAACATTTTTGATTAATTTAGAACACTTGGTCCTATGGATCCGAATGTTTTCCAGCGCAGAGCCTTTTCCTAGCACTGACAGTAGCTCACCTAAATGGTCTATGCTTCTTATAGATGTGTCGCTATATGAACGGCCAAGCAAAGGTCGATCTGTTTAGCCATCCGGTCTACAACTGAGATGCCTGAAGAAATAAAACGGATGTTAAAAATTCAGAAACTGCTATAATCAAAATATAATAATATAAGTATTAGCAATAATATGAATAATTAAATATATATATAATTGACGTGCCATTTTCAGAAAGAATAGCTTGCTCTTTCCTGTAGAGATTATGGGTGCTTTCCAACTACGTACACAAGCGACACTGTGTAACACTGTGTCCATTAGTGTGAGAAAGAGCATATCAGTGTGTTTCACTCACACTCATGGACACTGTGTTACACAGTGTCGCCTGTGTACGTAGTTGGAAAGCACCCAGAGATGTCAGATCGCGCCGGACAGCATCGAGAGTATCGAAGCGGGGTATCCCCACCGTCTCGATGCTCTCGTACGCGTACAAGCGAGAACCGCACACGGACGCTGTTTTCACTTGTATGCGTACGAGAGCATCGAGGCGGTGGGGATACCCCGCTTTGATACTAGAGAGAAACCAGAGAGCGGCCATCCTATAGTAATTTTTTACGACGGTTTCAGCCGCTGGTTTTAGCCGTATTTCCACAAAAGTGGAACTCATAGGCCGTTCTACATTAAACGCAAGTCGCAGATCTCGTGGAATTGACCAATTGCAGAGTCAAATCAGCCAATCGACCAACGTGATTGATCAATTCCACGAGATCTGCGACTTGCGTTTAATGTAGAACGGCCTTTGAGTTCCACTTTTGTGGAAATACGGCTAAAACCAGCGGCTGAAACCGTCGTAAAAAATTACAATAGGATGGCCGCTCTCAGATTTCTCTCTGTCGATACTCTCAATGCTGTCCGGCGCGATCTGGTATCTCTGAAAGCACCCTATATCTAGAAATATTTATCTTGTGTCTGGCAGTCTCAGCGTGTTTCAGGAGATCTCCATGGTGAGCCCTCAAATTAACATTACAAATTATACATCTAGCTTCTTTGAACTCAGGATCACTTTCAAATTTTGGATTCTTACAAAGCCATCCTTGATGTTTAGTAAAAGAAAATTAAACACCTTTGTTTATTTTTTCATACATATGCCAACAAGAAGGGGATTACACATAAAAAACAAACAAGAGCGAGATTACTGTAAAAAAAGAAAAAGTTATGTAAAAATTTACCTTTTAGTCTGTTCTCTTTTTCCCAACTTTTTTTTATACTTTCGTGAATACTTTCCCCATTTCCCCATATTTCGAAATAAGCGATACCAATTAAAATACCGTCGGGGACCACGCAAAAAATGATCACGCATCAAAAGTTACTTTCGTTTTGCAAAGCACAAAACGCAATCAAAGTATGGGGAATACCCAATTGCCATACTTAGGGCCATTGCACGTAAAAAAATTTTAGCCGTAACCGTAAGCAATTCAACCAATTACAGACCAGTATTATCTTACATTAGTTGGAATGCTGGCCAGCGATTGGTCACTGTGCTTACGACCTTGCGATTACGTCTAAACTTTTGCTATGTGCAATGGCCTTTATTCCTCTTTATAAGTAAACCCGAAAATTTTTAGGCTGCTTTTACATGAAGCGTAACTTGCGTTAGCCAATCAAATCGTCTCAGCGTATTTGCGTAGCTGAGACAAGTTAAGCCTTGTTTATACGGGCAATAACTTTCAACTTATGCCAGAATCGGTAAAGTTTAACTATAGAATTTCAATGCTTCTGTTTATACAACATTGCCGAATGCGTATAAACAGAAGTATTGAAATCTTATAGTTAAACTCTACCGGTTCCGGCATAAGTTAACAGTTATAGCCCGCATAAGGCCTGGTTTATGCATAAACATACGGCATAAGTTAACAGTTATTGCCCGTATAAACCAGGCCTAAATAAGGCCTTACGCTCCATGTAAAAGCAGCTTTAAGATTGGTTTATAAGGCCTTGTTTATGCGGGCAATAACCTTTAACTTATTCCAGAACTGGACGAGTTCAACTATAGGATTTCAATACTTCTGTTTATACGCATTCGGTAATTTTGTATAAACAGAAGTATTGAAATCTTATAGTTGAACTTTATTGGTTCCGGCATAAGTTAACGGTTATTGCCCGCATAAACAAGGCCTAATTGCTCTAACCGCTAACTTAGGCCACTACCGTAAAAGTTCCCGACCGATTTCTCTCTACCTTGTCGTGGTAGCCGGGCTTAGGGAAACTATGATCCAGGGGGCCATGCCGGCGGGGACTCCTTTGAGTCCCTGGTAGGGTCACCCATGCTCGGAAGGGCCCCTGGTGAGTTCCTGAACTAAGAGAGGGAATAGAGGAAAGAAAACCTTGAACAAAACCCCGGAGTTTCGAGCTTCGTTAGCCCTTGATGCCGGGGCAACTGGGATAGGGAAGACAACCCTGACTTCAAATCCGGGGACGTACGACCCCGTCAGCCACGGTGCAATCGGACTAGAGGAGTAAACCCTGATTTCAAATCCGGGCAGGCCAGGCTCATTAGACTTGAACGTCAATTGGCCTAGGAGACGGATACTCCAAAATCAAACCACCCCACACACAAACAACCATGGATAGCACAACGACAGGAGAAGTAAACTTACCGACTCAGAAGACTCGGAACTCCAGAGTCCGGCAGTTCGGGGGTCTTGGCCTCGCCCCCGTTCGGTCGTCATCCAACAAGGGGTCGACTAGAGCGTGCGACACAGGCGCTCCAGTCAATAATGCTACTGCGGATAGTAGCAATGGCCGGTTTTGGCTAATGCGTCTTGGTGACGATGCCATTAACGCGAGCCAACATAGCTCGGTGGCGAGCGGGCTGGGTGTGTCCCCAGAGGCGCTAAATGCTCCTCTGGTGCTAGACACATCGGATGAGGAGGCAGCCGGAGGAATGACGGCGGTGACAGAGCATAGCCGGTTCTTGAAGTCTCCGATCCCGATTACGTCGGGTAAGAAAGGAGCGAAAGGTCGAAATAAGAAGGGCGGCCCAAAGGCATATCGAGCCATAAACGAGCTTATAGTCGTCTCTGACGACAGTTGCGATCTACCGCTTGGCTCCTCACGAAGAGAGAGAAGGCGCCGAGGAGAGAAGCCGCAGAACTCCGCGGCGGAAGACGCCTTCGCGTCGTGCGGTAACTCACGCAAACGCAAACAGGCGCGCATTGAGCCAAGCAGCGAATCAGAGGGGCCGCGCTCGGTTGATATAGAAGAGGGTGACTGGGATGCCAAGTCGGCTCTCAGCATAGTCGCCCTCGTCCAGGCCAAGTCGGAGGCCTTCAAAGGCCAAGTCAAAAAGTATGGGCGGCTGAAGGGAGTCTTCATCCGGGACTTCTACGTCTTTGCCGATCTGGTGGTAAGCGCCACGCAGGCGCTGCATAAGTGCGCAGAAGAGGCGGGGGACCACACGTTGCAGCTGTGCATGTATGCTGCAGAAAGTGACGCGGAACAGGCAAAGGCCAAGCTCCGCAAACTGGAGGAGGAGCATCAGAGGTTATTAGATTAGATGCGGCACCTCCGCGCTGAGATGCGGAAGGCCGCCCCAGCTCCTCCATCCAGGCAGAGATAAGGGAGACTGCGGCGCAAACTGACCCCGCTGTGGTGATCACTTTAGTCACCTCTCTCCTGTCGGGCACCATCATTTCCCCGATGAGACTTAAAGTGCAGGCGATGAGACCTAAAGTGCAGGGGGTCAGTAAGGTCATTGATGGCCCAAAGATTGTCCGTGGCGAGGATAGCGACGATCTTCAATCAGTCGTGAAATCTATCGTCACGGGGGAACCGCGGGAGATAAAAGCCTTGCTCGCCAAGATTCTTTGTGGCGCGCCACCCAAGGGAAAGGAGGATAAGGAGACAGAAAGGAGGGAGATCCCAGGAGACAGACCCCCAGCACTGATGGGAGAACTATTGGGGGGCGATCCAGCCCCGTGGGAAGCCTTGCCTCAGCGACCGTCGGAAAGGACGCGAGGAAAGAAAGTCGCACCGGCTCCGGTGAAAAATCTACCGGAGGGTGATTCTACTCCACAGTAGGTTTCGGCTCCTTCTACCTTACGGGGAGAGGAAGAGGGTTGGACGGTGGTGACGCGTCGCGGGAAGTCCCGCGAGAAGGAGCAGCCGGCACGTAAAGAAAGCGCTTGGCCCGTACGAGCCGCTACCGAGAAGGGGGCAGCTGAGGAAGCAACCCGGCACGCTCCGGGGGCTCAACCTTTGTCCTAGGATGGCCGTCGTCCATCCCAAGGAAGGGGTGCGGATCGTAGACGTAGAGGGCGCCCTGCAGCCGTAGTTATACGGTGTCTTCGGGCAGAAGGGGACGAGGAGCAGCCGTCTTATGCGGCTATAATGCGGCTCGCAAACGAGAGCATCTCTCTCCTTGATCTGGGGATCGAAGATACCCGGATTAGACAAGACATCGGCGAGGGTATCCTCGTCGAAATCCCGAGATCCGAGGGCGCTGCCAAGGCGCACGCCCTGGCCGACGCTTTAACTCTTGTCTTGCAGGGGAGAGCGGTCGTGTCCAGACCTGTCCGCAAGGGAGAAATTAGGGTGGTCGGCCTCGACGTGTCAGTTACGTTGGCCGACGTAGAGGAAAAGATCTCCTCAGGCGAATTCGGAACCTGCAAAAGATCGGATGTGACGGTGGGACCTATCACACAAGGCCGCGACCGTCTTGGGGTAACCTGGGTCCGGTGCCCCTTTGAGGTGGCCGCTAAGTTAGCGGATCTTGGCCGACTCCGCATTGGATGGAACAGCGCGCGTGTGACACTCCTGCCGGGCCGAAAGCTCCAATGTTTCAAGTGTTTGGAGTTCGGCCACATCCGGCAGGTGTGTCGCAATGGAGTAGATCGCAGCGGTACTTGCAGCCCAGGACCTGGCTCTCCAGGTTCTGCGGGAAGAAAGGGCGGCGGTGTTGGCTCTCGCTGAGCCGTGGAGGGTCTCAGATTCCCCCGGGTGGGCGGGGGACCTGGATGGCAAGGCTGCTATAACTTGGTTCACTTGTCGGGGTGGCCGACCTGTGCGCAGAGTCTTGGAGAAAGGCCACGGTGGGAGAGGCTACGTGGCGGTTCGGCGAGGCAAAGTGGCTGTCTTTGCATGCTACTTCTCATCAAACAGATGCATGGGTGACTTCCGCGACGGACTTCAGGCTAGCTTAGCGGAGTGCATCCGCCGTGTGGAAGAGGACCCGGTGCTGGTGCTTGGCGATTTCAACGCCAAGTCCAGCATCTGGGGCTCCCCTTGTGCGGACTCGAGGGGAGAGGAAGTGGACCGATGGGCGGTTGAGCTCGGCCTGCACGTGTTAAACGTGGGTCGGGTTCCGACGTGCGTTCGCCTCCAGGAAGTATCCATTGTAGACCTCTCCTGGGAGTCCGACAGGGTTCTCCCCTTTGTAAAGGGTTAATGTGTGCTTGTGGGAAGCGAGTCTCTCTCCGACCACCGGTACAGACGGCGTCATTAATTCGAAGAATAGGCGCGGGGATCGGAGGACAAGCGGGGCGGTTGCTCGTAGCGCCAACGGGCGCCGTACTACCTAACTAGTAGCAATCGGGTGTCCACAACTACGTGGACACCCGGCGCCCGTTGGCGCTACGAGCAACCGCCCCGCTTGCCCTCCGATCCCCGCGCCTATTCTTCGAATTAATGACGCCGTCTGTACATCATCTTTAGTGTGACCGGTAGTGNGGGGGGGGGGGGGGTTCCCAAAGTTCTTCCGGCGAGGTTCCCGCGCTGGAAAATCAAGAAGTGGGACCTCGACCGGTTCGAGACCTCTGTAATCGGGGGGAGGGGGGTAACTCTTCGGACCGGGGTGGGACTCCGAAGAGGAAGCTAAGTGGCTGTCGCGCACGGCTGTTGATGCGTGCGACGCATCTATGCCGCGGGTGCGTCCACCTACTGGTGGAACGAGGAGATTGCGGGTCTCCGGCGCGTGTGCGTTACGCACCGCCGGAGATACACGCGTGTTCGGGTCCGCCTCCGACATCGCCCTGGGGCGGTGGAAATCCTGTGGGTGCGACTCCGCGACAACGCGTGATGAGGGGGGCGATCGCCACGGCCAAGAAGGCAGCATGGGCGGAGCTGACCGCAACTCTGGACCGGGACCTGTAGGGGATGGCCTACAGGGTCGTTCTGTCCAGACTGCGGTCAGCTGGACCTCCGACAACGGAAGCTATAGAGGTCGAAGAAGTTCTCCGGATGGCAGAATCTTTGTTCCCCACCCGGGAAGAAGGCGCTCCTGGCGTTGTGGGACATATCCCCTGGAGGGATACGTATTCCGTCACGGCGGAGGAACTCCGCTCCGTCGTGTGGAAGGTGGCGGGCCGCTGAACTGCCCCGGGCCTCGACGGCCTGGTGTGTCCTGTGTGGGCGCGACTGGCTGCGTTGGCACCGGACCGGGTGATCCGGTGTTTTAGTCGCTGCCTTTGGGAGAGATTCTTTCCCAGATCTTGGCGACATGCCAAGCTAATCTTGATCCCGTAGGCAGTTCCGGCGGGAGCAGCCCCCTCCTACAGGCCCATTTGCCTGTTAGGAGAGTTGGGCAAACTGTTTGAGCGGGTTGTTGCCCGCCGCATCAAGGAGTCCTTCGAGAGGCGGGGCGGATTGGCACCGTCGCAGTTCGGGTTTCGCCCGAAACTGTCGACTGTGGATGCCATCACCAGGTTCCGCGACACCACGGAAGAGTTTACACAAGAGGGTGGGCTTTGCGTCGCGGTAAGCCTCGACGTGAAGAACGCTTTCAACACCTTCTCGTGGGAAGGCATACGCAGTGCAGCGAGGTGGTGAGGTTTCCTCACCCATCTCCGGGCGATGCTTGATGCGTACTTGTCCGACAGATACGTTCGTTTCTCATGTGTTGATGGGAGGGTAAGGTCGCACCGCGTGACGTGTGGGATGCCCCAGAGCTCAGTCCTTGGCCCACTCCTGTGGGATGTGGGGTATGACGCGGACCTACGCGTTTCCCTCCCGCCGGGGTGCTCGCTCATCTGTTACGCAGATGACACGTTAGTGTTGTCGGGCGGGCACCACGAGCGGGGAGTGTTACGCAACGCTGCGGTGGCGTTGGCGGCGGTGGAGCGTCGTCAGGCGACACTTGGCCTCAGTCTGGCCCCCGCCAAGACTAAGGTCGTAGTGTTCCGCCCTCTGGGGCGTTGGTCAGGCGGCGGTGATGATTGGGAGTACCCGCGTGGTATCCCAGCCATCTATGAAGTACCTGGGCCTGCAGGTAGACTCAAAGTAGAATTTCAGATCCCACTTCGAGTACGTGGCGGCGAAAGCCATGAGGGTTCCTGGGGCTTTGGCGGGGTTGTTACCCAACCTCGGGGGTCCCAGGCCCGGTGTGAGGCGCCTTTATGCCCACGTGGTCTACTCCGTTATGTTGTACGGGGCCCCGGTCTGGTCCCGTGCATCTGGAGTGGGCCGCGTGGCGGTTTTTATGGCCGCGGTGCAGCGTCTCATAGAGGGGAGGATGGCACGAGCCTACCGCACAGTGGCACTGGAGGCGATTTGAGTACTGGCGCGGATTCCGCCGGTAGACATAATGGCGGCCAGGTTAGCTCGGGTTTATTCCGACGTACGGGAGATGCGAGTCGATGGGAGGGATGATAATCCCGTAGATATCGACCGCATCAAGATAAGGGCCTTCAGAGCCGTGGTCGAGCAATGGCGGAGGAGGTTGAGAAACCCCCTCCTGCCAGGTAAGAGAGTTAGGGAGGCCGTTGACCACGTGCTCGGGGACTGGGTGGAGTGCGACCATGGGTGGCTCACTTATGGTACCATCCAGATCCTGACGGGGCATGGGGTCTTCGGTGACTTCTTGTTCCCGATCGGGAAGGCTGCGTCCCCAGCGTGTGAGCACTGCAATGCGGAGCGCGACTCTGCAGCTCACACACTAGAGGAATGTTCTGCATGGGATATGGAGAGGGCGGCTCTCACCCTCGTGATCGGCTCCGATCTATCTCTGCCATCCGTCGTCAAGCGGATGGTTAGAAATGTTGGCGCGCCATGATCGCTTTTTGCGATAACGTCATGGCCGCCAAAGCGGAGGAAGAGCGGCTGCGTCAGGGACAGCCTGCCGGTAGAAGGAGGCGTGCGGCAATCTCTGATGGGAATTAGCCGCTCAGGTAAAACTTGTGCCGGGCGCAAGTTAGGAAATGAGTTCCCTCCTTCCCTCGTCTCGTTGGGGTGTCTCTACGACTACCCCCCACGTCGGGCGGGGGAAAAGGGGAAACTTAAAGTGCAGGCGGGTGGGAGCGGGGGCTCTTTCCCCGCCCTTGCACGCAACCCTAGGTGTTGGTGGAGAGATGTGGTGGTCCCATTTCCTCATCGGTGAGGTTGAGGAGTCAGGTGGGAGCTGACTTCCCAAGGCATGCATAAGGAAGGGAGTCGGGAAGTTATAACCCTAGGGTTTGCCAGGCTTCCTCCTGAATGCCGGAGGACCGCCGAGGAGTTTTAGTGAGTAGCCCCTCTTTGAGGAGTCCAACACTACCCTCACTCTCCTCCGAGAGTGGGGGCGTGCATGAAGCATTTCTCCTCGTAGAAAAAAAAAACACTACCGTAAAAGTTGGAAGATAGGAAATACGTATTTCTGTTTACAAGTCAATTATAAACGGTAGTACATATTTCCTATCTTCCAACTTTTCTTCCAACGGCAATAAAGGCCATTCTACATATGACGCAGACGCAGATCGCAGGCCGCTGATTTCGAGGAATTAACTAATCACGTAAGTCGATTGGCTGATTTGACAAACGTGAATGGACAATTCCGCGAGATCAGCGGCCTGCGACCTGCGTCTGCGTCTTATGTAGAATGGCCTTAACTTAAGTAACGATTAAGCCTATATCACATTACGGATTAGGATTGCAAATTGGTCAAGCAGAGCGAAGATCACTAAACTTAGGATTGGTTTTCTTTCTTCTGATTGGTCAAATTTCAATCCAATCTCAATTCCAATCCGTAGTGTGACATAAGCTTTAGGGCAATTATAAACTAACTCTTACGCATTTACATAATAACAGTTAATGATCTGTCCATATATTCCTATATTAATGTTATGAACGGAGTGTTAAAAATATTGTACACAACATACACTAAAACTTCATTTATTTTCCAACCCATGAAACGTGAGCACTTCACTTATTTTTCTTTCAGAGAGGATCCCACTACTGCTGCAGAGTAAAGGTGGTTTTCCATTACAGTTGCAGTGTGATTGGCTGCTACAAATCATGCCGTTTCCCGCGCCTCGTTTGCTCTGCTAAGTGCATATATGTAATACTTCTATATTGCTAGTACGGTGCCGACCTGAAGCCCAAACGTTACGGTGCAGACAATATAGTAGCCTCTCTCTCGCGCAAGGTCCAGCTGCTTTGTGCGCATGCGGTGAACATTTAAGCACGCTTGGGCATTTTTTTTTCTCGCGTTCTTTCTTCGCGTTCTCTCACTTTCCAGTGCTTTGTCTCGCTCGCACTCGCTTAGTAGACGCGCTTGCGCATAATAACGCTCGACTATCTATCTGCCCATATTTGGACTTCGTGCGTCTCTCTTTCTCGGGCCTCGTGCCTCTCATTGCAAAGATACGCGACTACCAATATAGAAGTATTACATATATGGTTAAGTGCGAGAGTGAGAATGAGAGAGAAGTGAAAGTGGGAGGTAGAGGAGAAACTAAGTGGGAATATAATTGAGAGATTTTGTGGGAAGATAACCGAGTGAGAAGAGAGAGGGAAAATAAATGAAGTTTCAGTATATATACAAAGAAGGATGCATTATCTGTTCGCGTAGCTTACGTAACTCATCAACCAATTTTTATAGAAAATCGCCCAAAAGTCGCATAATTTTTTTCTGAAATCGCCCAATTTGCGACAGTCGCAAAAGCTTCAAATTCGATCGCATTTTTGACTTTGAAGTCGCCCAAATTGCTATAAATCGCCCA